GTTTTGAGCGATTCTCTGTTGTCTGCTCAGACGATGCAAACATGAGAAATTTCTGCATCGAGTATCTCAGACTCAAAGTAAAACTGAAAATGCTACAGTCACCAACAGATCAACAGACCTAGGAAAAGCTAAAACTGTCACTTTCAGATGATACGATTCTATATGTAAAAAATAAACACACAAACAAAAGAAACCACAGGTAAACTCTTAGAATTAACAAGTGAATTTGACAGGGTTAACTGAACATCAGGTCACTATATAAAAACCAACTGTACTTTTATTGGGGCGCCTGGGTAGCTCAGTCTTAAGGTTAAGCATTCAGCTCAGGTCATGATCTCGTGATCATGATCACCCGTTCATGCTCTGTCTCTCTCTGTCTCAAAAATAAACATTAAAAAAAAAATCAATTCTAGATAGATTATGGACCAAAATGTAAATGATAGAACAATAAAGCTGCTAAGAGAAAACCTGGAAAGACATCTTTATAAAATTGGAGCAGACCCAGATTAAACAGGAAACAAAAGAACCACCGGTTAAAAATGATTGATAAGGTGCAAAGCCAACGACAGGGGCCCTTCCTGTCCAAGTCTTAGGGCAAAAGTGGTGATTAATATCTGGATATTGAGGAAGGGAGCATTTGGTTTTTATACATTTCTTTTCTATGCCAACATGTTACATGACTTAAGTCCCAAGTGAAAGGGAGCTGGAGAAACTACTAATGAAAACAATGTTATCTCTTCTGGTTTACGCTCAAAGAGTGCTCAGGATGAACCGCGTATCGGTAGTTTCAAGATCATATCAGTAGAAACTATAACAGTACATTCCAGATTAATACAATATCCTTTTTATCCTAACCAGCAATGCCCAGAGATCCTCGACCCTTTGATGAAGTAACATCAGTAAAAACACATGGCGTGACTCTATTTCACAGGAAGCACCAGATCTGGAACAAAAGCACACAGCACTGCAGTCTTCTTTCCACGGCCGTAAAGTATCTTATCCTTAACACCATACCGTGCAGTGCTGTCCGTGTATCTCTATGCTCTGTAATGACCTGCAGTAAGTTGAATATTTTTTTTTTCTCCAAGTGCACTTCGATTTCTGCCAGGAATCATCTCTCTCCTCTGTTTTTCTCAGTCCCACTTTTTTTCCCAAGACGCAGCCCACATCCCACTTTCTCCATATAACCTTTCCCAATCAGCCCCCCCTTGGGGAGCCCTCCTCCTTACCCCAATTCCTACAGTCCCAGTGCCTCTGATATTCATTTAGCAATTAATTAAACGCAGCACTTTGCCAGTTCTTCTCGCTGTTTGCAACTGTTGTTTATTCTTCCTGCACCTCTTGTTCCAAGTCCTTTATTAAGTATCCCAGGAGCCCTGGCATTGCCGTGGGAGAGCCATCAACAAATTTCTTTTGATATGGAGTCCGAGCTCTGTACTACTCCACAGCCATACATAGTGTACACACTGGGGACACTGCAGGCACACACATTTGAAGTCACAGAAGGGAGAAAATGGTCTAAAATTAAAGGCGTGGCACAAAGAAGTATTGGACGTGTATCAAGTTGGGACTTGAGATGGTCTTGAAATACGGGAAGGCATCCTGATGAGAGGAGATGAGAAAAGAAAGGTAGAGGAGAGGGGGGAAGAGAGGAGGGGAGGGGCTTAGCGTTCTGGATGATCAGAGGCACACAGCCGGAAGAGCAGAGCCCCACTGGAGGTCAGCGAGTGGATCAGCCAAGCCAGAGCCAAGGCCCAAGGTAGGTACCAGTGGGACCGAAGACTGTGAAATTAGGATGGGAATGGTAGGCCCTGAATGGGCAGCCTAAACATTTGGACTTGAGCTTATGAACAGTCCATCAGATAACATGAAAGCTCACTCCTAGAGAGCTCTCAAAATGGGAAAGGTTCAAATTCACTTCCGCCTACAGGCAGGAACATGGGATCTCTACTGAGATTCTTCTAGCAAAGTACGAAAGCCATGACATCACACCCAGCTCCCTAGTGTCCCAGGCTGATGGGACCCATCCGCCACCCAGCTCATACCAGTCTGCTTTCTTCTTTCTGCTTGTAGCTCTTGCTTTGATCTTCCTCACTCTCTTTCTTTCCATCTAAATATTCTCCAAGCGCTTCCCTATGATGGGAGACAGTGGAAAAACTGAAGTTATTTCTAGTACATAGATTCTATATTTAGAGTTTCCACAGCACGTCACGCCATATACAAAAATACATCCCACATGGATAAAAAGTTAAATATTTTTAAAACATGCAATTATAAAAACACTAGAAGTAAACACAGGAGGGAACCCATCTGAGAGTAAGACTAAAGGCGGGGGGAGGGAAATTGAAAGACTTTACTTCCTAACATTTAAAACTCTTCTTGAAAATCAAGGCATAAACCGGTAAAAGATACTTAACAAAATTTTGCCACCTAGAAAGTAGTATGGGCTCCTTCAAATCAATACAAAAAAGATAAAATACCAATTAGAAAAACCGGCAAAGGATGTGGACAAGGATTTTACAGAAGAAACACACATAGTAAACAGACATTTGGGAATATGTTCAACTTCACGCAGAACCAGAGAAATGAAATTGAAAAGCCTGTGAGGTATTATTTCTCTCCATATCAGACGAGAAAAGATTTTTTTTTATTTATTTTAATTTTATTTTTTATTTTTAAAAATTTACATCCAAATTAGTTAGCATATAGTGCAACAATGATTTCAGGAGTGGATTCCTTAGGGTCCCTTACCTATTTAGCCCATCCCCCCTTCCACAACCCCTCCAGCAACCCTCCGTCTGTTCTCCACAATTATGAGTCTCTTCTGTTTTGTCCCCCTCCCTGTTTTTATATTATTTTTGTTTCCCTTCCCTTATGTTCATCTGTTTTGTCTCTTAAAGTCCTCCTATGAGTGAAGTCATAGGATTTTTCTTTCTCTGACTAATTTCACTTAGCATGATACCCTCCAGTTCCATCTATGCAGTTGCAAATGGCAAAATTTCATTTTTTTTTTAACGTTTATTTATTTTTGAGACAGAGAAAGACAGAACATGAACAGGGGAGGAGCAGAGAGAGAGGGAGACACAGAATCTGAAATGGGCTCCAGGCTCTGAGCTGTCAGCACAGAGCCCAACACAGGGCTCAAACTCATGGACTGTGAGATCATGACCTGAGCCGAAGTTGGACGCTTAACCGACTGAGTCACCCAGGCGCCCCTAGATTTCATTCTTTTTGATTGCCGAGTAATATTCCATTGTGTGTGTGTGTGTGTGTGTGTGTGTGTGTGTGT